TATATATATATATATATATATATATATATATATATATATATACATATACATATATCTATATATATATATATATATATATATATATATATATATATATTACAAATTAAACCTATGCAATAAATATAAAATTGTTTACTGTACATTTAGGGAAGAAAGAAGTTATAAAAAAATGTAGCATATCTTTAGACCATAAACTATATTTACTATAGTACAGAACAAGACATCATCTTCGCTAGAAAACAACACCATGAACATTAAAAGCCAAATATTTCAGATTGTACAAAGTAAAAATCATTTTCTTTGACCTCATCTTTACAGGTTGTTTTGCAGATATCTATAAATTATAACTTTAACAATTTCTATTTTAAAAATGCATGCATTTAGGCACAAAAAAAAATCTTATGTCCAGTCTGAATCTATCTAAATGTTTTCACACACTGCAGTGAAATATGAAAAAAAGATTTACTCAGGTTTAGTCGGCCACAAAAATCTCCTACTAATAATAAAGGTGCCTCTTAGATCTTTAGAAAAGTTACAGCAAAAAAATTGTTGCCAAAGCAATTGACTTCAAAAGTGTTAAGCCTGATGTTCTGTTAGACACTGTGTCAGTACATCCGTCTCACCTGCAGAACTCACCTCAGCAGCCCCTCCTCTCCATCCACCTTCTTGCCCCCAAACCTAATTCAAGCGTTCCCTCTCTGAACTCTAGTGCGGGTGCATCGACTTATTGCATTATGTGCTATTAAACAAACTTGGACTCTCTTTAAAGCGGAGTCAGACTTCAGAGGACTGTGTGGCATGTTTATGGGGTGGACTGTACAGTACACAGAGATTTCTCATTTCTCCCGGTGACCTTGGGCACAGCGACATGTATGGTTTTGAGGCTTTGATTCTCCATGTTGAGGTGTTGCGGAAAAAGGTGCTATGCAAGATAATTTTGGCATTTTTTCCCGGAGCATAGAGAAAGTAAGAAATACAACGGTTCAGACTTGGGAGATTACAGGTAATATGACACACAGCCTTCATAAACATTCTTGACCCAACCTGATGATGGAGATATTGCTTCAGGAAAGACTTTTCACACTTTGATTTGCCTAAAATGAGATGGAGGAGTCAGTGATCAGACTCTTTGAGGTTCCTTGCAGAGAGGCCAGCACTGGCTGTATGTCTTCCAGCATTTAACACACACTTCCACACACATGACAGCCAGGTGAGCAAGGAGCAGACTTCTGCAAATAATCTGAGAAAACATCCTCAAACAGAATGATATTGATGTATTATTCATGTCTTTAAAAAAAAATACAGAAATGATCTATCTCAGGCCATTGAAACCAGGTAATCCACCAGTTTCCAGGGGTTGGCCTTCCGGCGAATTAGGGATGAGCAAACTATTGTGCATCCCTCCGAGGTCAACATGGTTGAACTGGTGATACATATGTATGTTAATTTGCCTAATCTCACTTCTACAAATGTCTTACAGGCACATAAAGGGTTTAACACTGAGATATAATGATATCAGGGCATCAGGCAGTCGGCTTTAAAAACATGAGGCAGCCGTCGCTTTTAATCGGATGAAAAACCCTTCATAGTGACTGTTGGTTCAAAAAGAAGAACACATAAAAAAGTATAAAGTAAATATAGATTTTTGTTAATTTGAGAAAAAAAAATGTTGCACCTTTTTGGTGGAAGCGCATCTATGACACATGTTAAATAGTTTTAAAGCCAATTGTGTTTACAGCCAGGTAGGGGTTTGAAAACCCTGCATTGTGTTAAAAGTGTGACACCAATATTTTATTGTTTTTGTCGCACTGCAAATGTTTTTAGAGAGATTTTTTACCTTGAATAACTGAATGAATAGTCTGTGGCCATTTAGTCACATTTGTAAATTTGCAGTGGATAGGGATTTATTTCTAGGTGTGATTTCTAAGCCATGATTGTTTTTCTATTTTCTAAATGCCTTTCAAAGCATTGTAGTAAAAAATGTTAATATACATATCTAATAAACATTATCTTAATTGGAACAATCAAAAGGAATTATATCCAGAAATATAATCATAATTCCTTAAAAGTAAATTTAATTCCCACTGCAGTAAGGAAATCTTTAGTTAAATCCTGATTAAAATGTAAATAATTACAGCTTGTTAGATATATCCAGATGTGTAGACACATGAAGCAACTTCTTCTCATTGTCTGTTGAGCTATGTTAAAATATGGTTTGCTTTTAAGTATGCAAGAAAATAAAAAAATCTATTGGCATCAAAATGTAAGAATGTACAATTTAATGAATCAGATAATATAACTTTATTCTAGTGTTGTAGAAGATATATGATTTATTTGAACCTCAAACATGATGTTATTAGCATGGATTTAATTTTTGTTCTCATGAAAATGTTTTTCCAGATCTGTTTTTGGTTTAAATTTTTGTTAAACTTTTCCATAGTTGTATCTCTACCTTTCCAATTTGGTTCCCAGATCCCCCTCCCAAAAAAAGGGAAAAGAAAAGAAAAAACATAGCCTATCTATTCAAAAGGCATTTAGTCCATTTCTTTCTTGGCCGGTAAACCCATTCATCAATTGTTCTGGCTTGTAGATTGCATTCTAATGCTAATCTAGCGTGTTAAATATCTTTTTGTTCCCCTTTCACCGTTTTGTCATTCAGTTTATCCAGTTTTGGCCACCCATTTTATTTATTTATGCGCCTGCCTCCATTCATGTGCTCATGTATTTTTTATTATGTTGTTTCACTGTCATGCAGTGTCAACTCACTCCATTCAACATGGGCTACTTGAAGGGTTCGGGGGGACAAAGCGTGTACACATTGCACCGCTATTCACTCCGGCCAGCTGGATCGGGTGAAAAAGAAAAAAAAACCTTGTGAAAAGAAATCCTCCACAATGGACACAGAAGAAGTGGACAATGCTAACAGTTTTCCAAATACCACTGATTGCTTTCATCACAATGAGGGAAAGCATGCCGCTTTTGCAGAGCTCCACTTCAACAAACAACACTCTCACAAAAACCTCCCAACCCATGTTTTGTTCCCAGACAAAACCTCCTCGACCATCTAAACGCTCCCAGAGCTGGGGGGGAAAAGAATTTCTTTCAGCTTTTTCCCCCCCTTTTCCTTAAGAAAATTAAAAAGACAAGAAAGAGAAAAAAAAGTGCAGAAGTTGTTATCCAACTTACCTTTACACCATAAAACTACATTTTGGAAGATGTTGAATATTAGTAATTTATTTTATTTTAGGTTTAACCAAAGACATCAATTTCAAAAGCCTCTTCAACGATGAGGACATTCTAATATTTACTTAAATTTGGTAACACATTCCTCTGAAACATTTTGATTGTGATTTAACTGAAAAAGTATACAGTCAGGTTTCTTTCTCCTGCAGTTAAGAGTAATATATTCATATTTGCACATGTTTAATGAATTCAACAGGTTGGAAAATATCGAGAACAATTAGCCTTAGGAGTTTTTGTAGCAAAAATATACGTTTGTATAAAGATGTCCAAGTTTAGGGACAGTGCTAATGCAAAAGACAAACTTGACATCAATCTAAGTAAATGAACAATACATCTTAGCTGTGATAGTTACAGAGAATATTTTTCATCTCATTTAGTTTTAATATGATACAAAAAAATTTTTTTATTAAGTATAGCAACAATTCTGAGACTGTTGTCAATTAGTCAGGAAAAGGGCCAGTAAAAAAAGGTTTATAAGCCACATTTCATGACATATTTGTTGTGTTTTGACAAATAACCAAACAAATTCCTATGTTTTTCATCTCTATAACAGAGAGCCAAATATAGTAATCTAAATTAGTTGAAATTTAACTAATGAATTAGGTACAGTTTTAAAAATTTACTTGAATGTAACAGTTTTATTCAAGCATCATGTAGCACAAATCAGTTCTACAAAAGGTATTACAGCAACTTCAATAGATAAATTCTAACATTTAGCTTTTATTGATTTAGGGAGTTAAATTGGACATTTTGAAAAATCAAAGTTGTAAAATAAAATAAGTTTAAAGTTTATCAACACTATATATCTATATATGTTTAAAAGGGGATATAAAACAGGAAAATGCCTTATGTATATATACTTTGGACAAAAACTGTCCAAGGCAGAAAAACACACTCAAATATATATATATATATATATATATATATATATATATATATATATATATATATATATATATATATATATATATATATATATATATATATATATATATATATATATATATATATATACACACAAGTAGCCACTTCTCTACTTTTTAGGCCTTAGAATAAACTGAAAGCTTGGACTGTGCATCCTTATAGGGGCCAAGGAGGAGGAAGTTCCATGGAGAGAAGGGATCGAGATGTCACAATGGAGAGCAAAGTGCTGAAAAGGTTTAATTAACCGTGTCGGAGATAATTATCCCTGGACTGTCCAAATTAGTTTTGCATAATCGCTCTGATCCTTATGAATTAATCTCTCAGTGTAGAGGCAGCTCACTTCAGATTGGTTCTTAACATGTTGCTGAGAGATTCAAACAGTGCCCACCTGCTTCACACACTCTCCCTTACACACACACACACCCTGTGGTGCACACTTTAATTTAAATTAAACCTATTTTGTTTTTCCTCTCACACTCCGGTTAATGTAGAGCTGCAAAGAGAAGCTTGATTCCCACCGTCTTCTCCAGATTTTTTTTTCTCCCTGCATGGGAAATGAAAGCTTAGAGCAGCAAACAGTTTCATCTTCCGATTAAAATTGTGATAAATAAGGTTTTGGCTCTTGATAACAATGGGCTTATTTAGATTCCCCCCTCATCCACCCCCCTACCCTGTATTGCCATTCAATGTGCGGACAAAAGCGGCCTTTGGAGGATACCTTACACTTCACCTGGGCTGGACTGAGGAGGCAGGAGCAGGAGGAGGTAGGGAAAAAAAGAGAAAAGATACCAATCTTGTTCATCTCATCAAGAACTATACAGTCTGCATTTCCCTTCCATTTAATCCGAATAGGTTTTATTGTAGTCCTTTTGCTCAACAATAGTTTGATGTACATAATGGGATGTTAAAGGAAAACACAAAACATACAAATTCAATATGAGTTAGTTAAAAAGGAACTCCATTTTTTCTTGATGCACATGACAAGGAGTGGGAAGTGGAAAAAATAATAAATCTCCAACTCCTTCCAAACTTTTTTACCCCCCACTTAAAAAAAAGAAAGCTTTGAAATAAATTACATCTTTTGAATTTCATGTGCAAATCTCCTTTTTTTAATTGTCTGGCTTACCATAGATTCCACTAAAACAATAAATATCACAGACATCTATAAAACAGTTTTTAAAAAAAACTCAAAATATATACACTGTGTTTCTACTGGAGTTTTTCAAACACTAAAGCCTATAACGGCAAATAAGCTAAGTCATTTTTGGGATCTGTACACATTTACATTTACAGTGTTAGGGCAGTCCTCCTCATTGATCCACTAATCCCCCCACCCTCTCCTCATCTGAAAGTAAACAGTTGTGGTCCTGATGAGAGGAGGGGGGTGACAAGTTGGTCATGATTCCAACAGGTTTGTCCTGCAGTTGAAAAAGATGCTCAATAGCTTAAATCCGTGCTCCTTGTTCAGTCATCTTCTTGGCTGGACAATATGGAGTAGAGAGTTCTCTAAAATAAGCATTACCTTAGATAAAGGCATTAATCAATGTACATAAACATGTGATATTTGAGAGGACGAGCACTTCATCACATGTACAAATTTTTGTTTTTTTCTTCTTTTTTTTTTTGCATGCATAACTTAAAAAAAAATCTTGCATGGACAAATCAGTCACCTTTCTGAAGCGGGACTATCATAACGCCGCAGCATATGCAGGATAAGGTTCAAGCTGAGGTTTCCCCATTCCGGGCAGTAAGATGTAGGCTAAGGGCGGCTGCAGCCCCGCCGAGGGCCAGGCTGTACAGTTACATGGGATCATGTAGCCCGGGTTACCCGGAGATGGATGAGAGTGAGTATGGGTGTGCGTCCCACCGCCCACTCCTCCGGTCCCGGTGAACGCGCCTCCCGGCGGGTAGCCCAGAGGAGACGCGTAAGGAAACGAAGGAGGGGAAAGCTCGGTCATCTTGGATCCCAGGTCGAAAAACGAGTAGGGGTTCGTAGACATGGAGGGGTTGAAGAAGACCCTGGCAGCTGCGGCGGCCGCAGCCGCAGCCGCTTTGTCCGGGTTTCCAATGACGGACTCGGAAAGCGCGCCGGCGGAAAGTCCGCTAACTTTGAGCGCGTCGTGCTCCCCGAGATTATACGGCACCGGGAAGGAAAACTTATCTTTCTTCATCAAAGTTTTAGGCTTCCGCCTCGGTCTGTACTTGTAGTCTGGATGCTCCTTCATGTGCATCGCCCTGAGCCGCTTGGCTTCGTCAATGAACGGCCTTTTCTCGGACTCGGTGAGAAGTTTCCACTCCGCTCCCAGCCGCTTGCTGATCTCAGAGTTGTGCATCTTCGGGTTCTCCTGAGCCATTTTCCTGCGCTGGGCTCTGGACCAGACCATAAAGGCGTTCATCGGGCGTTTGACGTGATCCATTGGTTTAGACATCCTGCCACAAACTCTCTATGAAAGAGCATATCATATAATAAAAGTTAGAAGAACTCGCCAAAACTGGAAGAAAAACTTAAAAAAAAAAGCAGAAACGTAGTCAAGATATTCTTTTAAACTGGCATTATTACTTACTCTAGACTTTAATTCTTCATCCCACCCGTGGATTGTCCTGTGAAATCTCAAAGTTTATGCGTCCTTATGAGCGCTCAAATGTTTCCAGCGTCATAGTACCATCCAAGTGATGCGCCTTTAGTGAAAAACGATAATAAGGAAAAGAAAATAAGAAAAGAGCGTCCTGTTCTCTGCTTGTCGCCTGAGACTGTCAGTCTAAACGCGCACCAGCAGCGTTATACACAAGTGGATGACAGCTCCCGCTTGCCCCATGTGAAATACCGGATTGTGTGTGGCAGGTAGTGAAAGTGGCGCTCACGCATGCGCATTAGCCTCAGACCCTTTATTTTTTTTCCTCCTTTTAATTTCTCTGTGACTTTCTGAATACACCTCTCTGAGATATTTATCCTTTTTTTGTTGTTGTTTTATGTAGAGATTGTTGACTAAGACCATGGTTATAGGTGGACATTTTGTTTTTCTTTTTCAACAATACATTAATTTTTATGAGCGTCAATTTGTATCAGATGCGTCCCTTTATTTAATAAAGCATAAGTATCACATAATTATGTCATATATCTTAATTGATTAGAATCATCTTTACATTCTTTGCATCTCATAATCAAGGTGTCTTCCCTTCCTCGTGGATGGAGCTCCCTTTAAGGAAAAAAGGTAAAGAATGCGCTCTTTCATATTCTGATAATGTCTTTTATTTCACTTTCACGTAATAAATAAGAAAAATATTAAGGAGGTTTGGAGTGTTTCTAATCGTGCTCGGTTAAAATTAATTACTTTCTTGAAATCCCCCCCATCCCTCCCATTTCCACGTTCACTTCAAAGGACCTTCCCAAGGGCAGCGAGTCGACTACTGGAAATGAGGTTGTCCAATATTCAACTAAGCTATTACAGCTATCTGCGGGACCTGTTGCACAAACTGTAGGTTTTAAGTAGCTTGTTTTGCCATCTTCTCCTGTTGTGCATATTATATGTGCCAAAGAAGTGAAGAAACGGCATTGAGCAATATTATAAATGACAAATTAAGCTGCAGGTTGTGCGCTCAAATTATGATATAAAATACATTTCACTTGTCCCTTTTTAACGGTCTGCCCTGATCATTGCATTTTATTATTGTTTGCATTATTAAGTATGCAAAAATATATATATTTTTTAAATGAGAAAGGTTAAATGAGGATTCAAAAAAAAAAATCCGGTAAAGAGAATTTAGGGAGGTGGGTTATTGCAGCGCATCTTTGTGTAGAGAGGAAACCTGACAAGGTGAAGAAGATCCGCGCCAAAATAACAAAAAGGGCCATGATGAAAGACAGACCTGCTTCTCTCAAATGCGACCCGAGCATCTCTCAGCAACGCGCCTCCATGGCCCCCCAACCTGTTTCTGTCATTCAGCCCTCCGATAACATTCCTCAGAGAAGCGGTCCACTCCTTCGGCAGGAGGCTGCAGTCTCTCATCACACAAGCGTGCAAACACAATTGCATGCGCAGTCGCTTTGCAGTGATGAAAGTTTTTATCGGACTACAAGTGTGTGCAGTGCAAACATGTATCCCTCATGCAGGTTCTTTTCTCTCTCTTTTTTTTTTTAGTTTTTTTTTTTTTTTTTTTACAAACTCCACTTCGCTTTTTTTTATTTTTAGGTCAGTTTTATTTAAAAAAGTAATACTAATAGAAATGTTTTTCTTTGTCATTTATGCTGATAAAAAATGGGCCTTTTATCTTAAGTCTGGACCAAATTGATTGAAATGCGATATCCAGTGTATTTTCTACTCATCAAATGTTAACATTTATTTATTAATTTACTCTGACTTTCCCTCGCAAATTGATAAAGCGATATTGTGGGACTGGTTAGTTGTTAGATCCGCCCTACATCATTACCTCAACGTTTAGACTTGCTTTATGTACAGCTCTCAAAATTAAAGAAAAATGTTTTTTATCTTTTATTTTGTAACACAAAAAAAATTGCATCTCTAAAGCTGCTTAATCTCGTACTGATTAGGTTTTGACTAGAACCCATGAGGAGTTTAAATATGTGTTAATAGGTAAAATTAAAAATCCGATTTATTTCACAATATTATCACTACCATTAAAAATAAAAAGGAATTTAATTTTGACTTTCCTATATTTAAAGATAGATCTGTTTTATATCTTGTTTCTATGGGTTTGTCACTTCCATCCAATCAGTGCTCAAGATTATAATATTTTGAGCAATATGGCAAAAAATGTTGCCTAATGGTTAAACATTAAAATATTTGTTTTTTACTAAAACACATACCTATACATAGCAAAATAAGATAGACATGATAATAATTATGCAATTGTTTTCCAAACCCTTATCTAGTAGTTTAAATAAGGAATCACAATCATTTCTTTTATTTTTTAATAATTAGAATCTATAAAAAAAAAACTGCTATCCCTCCCAACCTCACACCTCCCTATACAAGCACCTGTTTACACACATGACTCATAGAAATAACACCTAAATAATTCAACATGAGTTTTTTGAGAGAGGTAAAATTACCTGCTGATAAAGCTTGGGTCCAACCTCTGAAACGGCAGCCAGCGCTCCCTTCCTCACAGCCAAGGGTTGATAAGGCTGAAAAAAAATGTGTGTGGGGGGGGAATATCATGCAAATAGAAAGCAGACAGCAGCAGCCACAACAAGCCCATGGGGACCTTTTTCCTTTCCTCGGACTGATCGCACACAGTTCACACTAAAGCTCTAAAGCCATCACTGTGTTAAAAGGGTCCCCTGGAGATGCCAGAGTCTCAATGATAGCAGCTAGCACTTTATTCAACTCAACACTCCTCTAAAGTGTTGGAGAAAGCACAGTAAATTATGAAGAAAGTTGATGAGGGGTCCCTGGATAATCCCAGTCTGTGCATTGAATGCTCTACAAAATATTGTGGGATGTTCACTTACCTCCCCATCCTTCACAAGCTCTCATTCTCCTCCTGCAGGAGGAGGAAGAGGAATCAGGTGTGGGAATACATTGATTTCAAGGGAACAGGATTTGACCTCTTGCTATCTGATGGCTTTTCTTTGACTATGAAAAAAGAAGACAGAGTAAACAACAATATCTGGTGTTTGGCACTTCAAACCCCTACAAAGCTGGGGGAGTATTTACTGCCACATGAAAGTTGGCTCATTAGCAGGGGAGGTTTTGTAAGAAGAGGAAGAGGGAGGGGTCCTGATTGTGTACCTGATGTAGGTTTTTCTTTCTGCTTGCCTGATCACAGCTCTGCCTCTCTCTTCCCCTTTTCCTCCTTAGTTGCTGCCCCACTGGAGGCTGAGTAGACAGGGAAATTGGAGGAAAAAGTGGTTAACCTCCCTTTTTTTTTAGTTTGTTTAAGATCAGCTTGCCTGCAAAGACCAGTCCTGATCTAATGGCTGATTCTAAGATGAAAGAAATATTCAGAAATGAACATCAATAAACAAAAGATGAATGCCAATATAGTAAAATACAATTATAATATTGTTTAAGCAATGATTCATCCTCCCATTATATTGCTACCTATTTTATAACAATTAGGCAAATAAAATCAAAGCATTTTAAATACATTTACCAAACTTTAAAGCTGTTAATCAGACGTTTCTGTAAAAGTCGATTAAAACTCACTTTACATAGTTTAGCGGTAGAACAGACTTTCTAATTGTCTTTCTCTTTTTATAAAAAAAAAATCATATATCTCTTTAAAAAACCGTTACTCTTACATCATTCAAATGATCACAATGCTATATATATTAATTTTTTTTTGTTGTTTTTTAATAGATTTAATAAATTTTCCTCTCCATTAGTGGTCTTTCATTATCAATGAGTTTCCACAATCACTTTTTTAAAGTGGGTTATTGATGAAAAGAAATCTCATTAAACTTGCGTTTCATGATGTTGATTTCCAAGTTTTCAATGAAGTTCGGTGCAGAACTCTCAGCTGACCATACTGAGTTCAACCCTTTCAGTTTTGAACCTGAGCTACAGTTTATGATTTTTTATTTTTCCAACCAAAGCCAGATGAAAGAAGTAATGAAACAAAAAACTTGGTGATTAGAAGGAAAAAAACTGTTCATACTGCATGCAGTGTTACTCCTGTAGTAAATCCCTAAGTGTTTAAGGTCAAACAGCAAAAAAAAAAAGCATTACATGATTTTATGAGAGGGAGATATTCATGGTAGTTCATACGTTTGACAAACACCAAAATAATAATACTATGAATTCGAACAGTAGAAGTCCTGATTGCAATTATTGTCATTAGCTATTGATGCTTCTCTCTGTTTGCAGCTGCAGCCATCATTTTTTGGGATCCTAGATGTAAAGATTCCCACTGGAACCTTCAAGGTAGAACATCACAGCCGCTAAAACCCAAATGCTTGAAATTGTTTGTCAAATCTGTTGAATGTTGCTCACTCAAAATGAATTTTTATGAATGAAAGCTACGTATGTATGTACTAGTATAAATAAAAATACCACAAATCTAAGCTATTTACAAAATAAAATGTATTTTATTCCAAGCCAAAATGCAAAAACTATTACACTTCTTCTAAGAAAACAATGTTTTCTATTCTAGTAAGGGTACCTATATAATGTCTTTATACATAAGTTGACTACAACTCATATTTGATAACTCATATTTATATGTTTTAGTTTTAAAAGTGGACAGTACTCCTTAAGGTGACAAATTATAAAAGGCTGTCTTAAAAACACATTTCTGAACAGCCAAAATTGTCTGTTGTGTTAGTCTGCTATCAATCAGTGCACAGAAACAGGTGGGGTAGGGGCAATGATGAATTATTCAAACAGGTTTTATACTTTGTGTTTTAAATATTTGGTATATTTTGATATCTGGGTAACTAGTCCATGCCTCATTCCATCTGATCAGTTCTGTTTTTGAGTGTCTAGTGATGTTACCATGCTTGATACAAGTAAACCAGGGTTACATCTTTTTAAGCCCTTGCAGTTCGTGAAAACCTACTGTGTCAATACGTACTTCATTACTCAAGCTTGTTTTTATTTACAAAGTAAATTTATGTTGAAAGGAAGAAATAAACCAATGCTTAATATATTTAACTGCATGATGCAGTGCACGCTGAAAAGCCACTCTGTGTCACCATCATGCACCATTATGCTCCA